ACAACAGGTCCCATCCGCAGAGATCGTGATACTTGGTGATTTTAACGTCCACCACGCTGAATGACTTGGTTCTCGTTTAACCGATCATGCCGGCAACGCATTTGCATTTCCCCTGGTGTTGCAGTTGTTCATGGGCGGCGGTAATCACTTACCATCAGGTGAGCCGTATACTCGTTTTCGCTCCCTCCTGTAAAAAAAACTCGAGCGCTGTTGTGGAGAGATTTTGAACTGTTATTTACTACTTCCAGAAGAACACATTTTATGACTGCTTTGGCATATGGTCTGACACGACTGGTTACCTCACCTACGTGGATCCCAGATGTGGAAGATCATGTACCTTCCCTGTTGGACCTTCTGACCTCTCATCCGGTTGGATATCAGGTGTCCGTTGATACCCCTCTTGGCTCCTCAGACCATTGTCTGATCCTGAATACGGTGCCACTCACGCTTCCATCGCGGTTGCGTACTGCAGGTTACCGCCGTGTTTGGGATTATAGGTCAGCCGATTGGGACAGGATGCGATCTTTTTTTGCATCCTACCTTTGGAGGTGAATTTGCTTCTCGCCGGATGATCCCAACATTGTTGATGATTCTGTCGCTGATGTGGTGCTACAGGGAATGGAATTTTTTAATCCATCATCTGTGGTACCTATCGGAGGCAGAACCCAGCCTTGATTGGTCGCTCCTGCAAAATTGCATTACGTCATACGCAAGAGTGTTACCAAGCCTGGGCTCGCGCATCGATGTCTCGGAATGCAAATACCAGCGCTATTAATAAAAAATATAATTCTGCTTCCAGGTCCTTCAAAAGTGTCATTGTCAAGGCAAAGTCAGAGCACATCGGCTGAATTGGCGAGAAACTAGTTCGTCTTCCATCAGGAACACGTGCATTCTGGTGTCTCGCCAAGGCTGTCCAAGGGAATTTCTGCGAGCCATCTCGCACATCTCTGCACTGGGAGGACGGCTCACTGGCCCATGCCGCAAAGGACAAAGCCGATTTACTGGGCTCTCTCTTTGCGTCCAACTCGACTCTTGATGACGGGGGGAACACACCGCCGACAATCCCGCAGTGTGAGTGCTCCTTGCAAGATGTGCTGTTTACGCAGCGCTCGGAGCGCAGAACACTCCGCTCCCTGTACATCAACAAGTCGAGTGGGCCTAATGGCGTCCCTCGTCCCTGGGCCTGAATCGTCGGCGACCGAGCTCTTTCCGATTAGCTTGACTCACTGGCACTGCGAAGAGGTGTTGCATATCTCTATGTATTTTATCGCATCTACCACGGGGGAGTACTCTGAGGAATTATTCGGACTAATTCCAGCCGCACAATTTCACCATCGCACATCGTGACAAAACTCGCGATACCATCCATTACATCTGAATGACTGGCGGTCCACTACTGTGCGATTTAAAAGAAGTTTTCTTCCTCGCACAACTGCCTTGTGGAATCAACTACCACCAAAGATTTTTCCGGACCGATACGACTTAGGGACCTTCGCGAAAAGAGCCTATTCCTTTTTAAAAGGCCGGCAAAGCATCTCCATTTCCCCTGGTGTTGCAGTTGTTCATGGGCGGCGGTAATCACTTACCATCAGGTGAGCCGTATACTCGTTTTCGCTCCCTCCTATAAAAAAAACTCGAGCGCTATTGTGGAGAGATTTTGAACTGTTATTTACTACAACCGGAAGAACACATTTTCAACTATTCTCCTATGGGAGATTGTCCTTCTTACCGCTATACTCCATGCCCTATTTTTCTTACATCAAAGATGTAATTACTCTAAGAAACAACATTGACATCATAACTATTTGGAGTTTTTGGCGATTGTCGCACCCGTTTTGTCGCTTAAATAATGGTGTGAAGTGGATTTTGTTTTGTAAATGTGATGCAATTTTGTGAAATAAGTGTCTGCGCGTGTAAATTATTAGATAAAACGACGAAACAAGTGCTTTGATGTTGATATAAACCTCAAGTTATTTTGATCGCTTGGACGCCTTAAGAACTTGAGTGGCTGTCGTTATCAACTGTCCGCTGAGTTGAGCTGTCGTCAAAATCTCCCAAAAACGTCTCAATATGACGCATCAGCATATTGTGAAGAAAAAATAAATAATAAAGAAGGTTACGAAAGAAATGAGGCTCAGGAGGGCTGGAATCCAGAGCCGTAAAGCCAGTTAAATAAAAAAATCATAACTTAATAGCTATGATTTACTTACTTCCACACTCCATAACTAAATAGTTATGGAGTGTAGATGTAAGGAGTGCCAACTCCTATAGGAGAGTAAATGGAGGCTAGAGAACAGGAGAACGATCGCTACGTGCTAAAGCATAGCCCACCTGTCCCTGAAAATTAGTATAATTTATATCCGCGCTGCCTTCGGTACGTAGTGTCTGCGAAGTAATTTTATAATTTTTGTCAAAGAGAAACATTAAAAAATGGTGAAATATTGTAAAAAATAATAATTTATAATAATTAAAATTATTGAGACGACTTAGCGATCGCAGCGCCTCACTTATTGACGCCATGTCGATCAATAAAACAAATGTGATGTTATACCGAAGTAACGTCAGTAAAAACACATCTCTGCATGTCACTCTAGGTGATGATACAGTACAATCTGTAGAAGTGGCTAAATTCTTAGGAGTGAGGATAGACAGTAATTTAAAGTGGAAGCATGAATTAGACGAGATTGAAAGTAAAATAAGCTCAGATTGTTACGTACTAAGAATATTACGGGATGAAGCGGATCTTAAACATCGAAAACTGGTTTATTACGCATTGGTGGAGTCAAAACTACGTTACAGTATTTTATTCTGAGGAGGGAGTTATTACTATAGACACTCTTCTCAGTATCAATCAGTGCTTCTGTTTAATAGATTACCTATTGATTTAAAAAAAATGTTATACAAGAGTAGCTTCAAAAATACTTTAAAAAAGTTCCTACTGGAAAAATGTTATTAAAGTGTTGACGAGTTTCTACATGCTAATGCTATTACATAAAATTAAATGTATTTAAACCTTTGATGACATTTTAAGAAACAATTGTATTTTTTTCTGACAAATATAGTTATTATTATTTTGTGATATTTAATACTTTAAATTTTATTGATAGTGGTGAGATTTGACTTGTAATTTTTATATAATTGTAATTTTATAGTTACTGCCATTTTACATAAATTAATTGTACACTAATTATTGTACTTTCATATTTTTATTGTAATTTCATATTTTTATTGTAATTTTATATAAGTAAATTTGGTTGTTAAGCTTCTCAATAGTAGTTTTGCATGAATTATTCAACACAATTTGTATTTTTCAGAATAAAAAAATAAAAAAATATTGTGTCCATATTTCTGGGACACTATTTTATTCAACGATCGTTCTCCTGTTCTCTAACCTCCATGGGAGAATAGTTGAAAAAGTGTCCATCTGTAGCAGTAAATAACAGTTCAAAAACTCTCCACTACAGCGCTCGAGTAGCTACAGGGTATGTTAAATCGCCGTAAAATACGTTGAGAGTGATTCTGAAAATAAAAATTTTGAAAGCAATAAAATAATTATTGTAAAAAGAATTGTGATGAAAGTCTGTGCAAAAAAATTATAAAAACTTCTTTAAAATTTAGACTGTAGCTACAGTGACGCCACCCTTATTTAACGCTTTCCTGCGGACACTTTTTATACAGAGTCTGTACTCCTTACCTCTACACTCCTTATATTTAGTATTTATATATGATTGACCATGGAGGTTAGAGAACAGGAGAACGATCGCTGTATAAAATAGTGTCCCAGAAATATGGACAAAATAAGTGAGGCGCTGCGATCGCCAAGTGGTCTCAACAAAAGCGGGCTGTTGTGCGCTAGTTTGAAATGATTATAATATCATTCAGAGAAAAAAAAACGAAATTATTATTATTTATTTGCCATAGTTGCCACGCTTGGCGAGCGGCTTAGCAACCGCGGTTTTTTATTATATCACAGTTGTTATCAGGAAGATGCTGCTGCCCATCTCCTGCCTGTCTTCCTCTGTCGCCTCTTACGACACTCACGGGAAGATACGGGGTAGTGGATATTCTCAACCGCCACTACACGGCATTCAACTCGGCTGGGCAGCGTTCGGGAAATTACGACGCATCTTCTTGTCGGTATACCTCAAAACCTGAAAACTAAATTATACAACCAGTGCGTGTTGCCAGTGATGACCTATGGAGCCGAGACGTAGTCCTTCACTGCTGGCCGTATGAGGACGTTCAAAGTCACTCAGCGAACTATGGAGAGGTGTATGCTCGGAGTTTCTCTGCATGATAAACTTAGAAATGAGGATATCAGCAGTAGAACCAGAGTGACCGACATAGCCCAACGGATTAGTAAGCTGAAGTGGCAATGGGCCGGCCATATAGCTCGAAGAACCGATAACCGATGGGGAAGAAAGGTTCTCGAGTGGCAGCCTCGTACCGGTAGGTGTAGTGTAGGGCGACCCCCCACTAGATGGAGTGGTAAGACATGCAGGAAGTCGATGGATGCAGGTGGTTCGGGACCGTGCTTTGTGGCATTACTTGGGGGAGGCCTATGTTCACCAGTGGACTTGTGAAGGGCTGTAATGATGATGATGATTATTATTATTTATTAGTAAGTAAATTATAAATTGTTTTTTATAATTTTAATTATTATAAATTATTACAAATATAAATTATTAATTATTATGGTTTATTGTTATTTTTTAATATTATTTCACCATTTTTTAATGTTTCTTTTTGTCAATTATTAAAAAAATTACTTCTCAGAAACTACTAACTGACAGCAGCGCGGCTGTAAATTCTACAAATATTCAGGGACAGGCAGGCTATGCTTAAGCACGTAGCGATCTCCTGTTCTCTAACCTTCATTTGATTGACTTGACATTTGACACTGACAGATATGTCAGTGTCAAATTGCTAGGTTGCTAGTACATGCCATAGATGTAATAAAAGTACATGCGTATTGCATAGGTCCTCTAAATTTATTTAGTATGACCTATAAACGAAAGAAATATCATCAAGGTGATACTCATTTAAAAAAGCGATGGAGAGTAAGAAATAGAAAAAAAGATCTTGATGAAATCGACAATGATTTGAAGGAAGGTAGGATTATTTCTGTAACAATAATTTATAGTTTTAAAATCACATGGTCACTCTTAGGTTATATAGATAATAATAGTCCATAATATTATCCTTATCTTTTTCAGACAATGCCGAGAAATTATTGAATCAAAACGTAGATTTAGATTTACCAGGTGCAGCGCAACATTACTGCCTTCATTGTGCTCGCTATTTTATTGATGAAAAAGCTCTTACGGAACATTTTAAGACAAAAGTACATAAAAGGAGGTTAAAAGCTCTAGAATTAGAACCTTATAGTATAGAAGAGTCGGAACGTGCCGCTGGACACGGCAATTTTAAAGTTCCAAATAAAAGGAAAATTGTGACACAAAATTCTAAAGATTTGCTAGATCAAGATGGTGATGTTGTATTAGAAGAAAACACTCCTACTAAGAAAAAGAAAGTGAGTGAAAATGATACATAAAGTTATTTTGAACAGTGTGTTTAAGTTTAAGTATTCTTATTTTTTATCCATCAGACATTCTGCTTTATTTATAAATGGTCTAAAAGCAACTGACACTTTCGTATATGTAACACCTCATATAGATTTCCCAGAGTGTATCAAACATAAGGAAGATATCAAGTTAAATATTTTGAAAAGAAAATCTAATGTTGATTTAACAAAAGTTGAAAATCTTTGGCTACTTTATGAAGACCTTAAGAAGAAGAAAATTGAGCTTGAAAAAAAGAAAATTGATGTGACTAAAGAATTATCAAATTTATTAAAAAATTCACCGAATGACAAAGATATAGAGAAATTAAAAATACAAAGTAGTTTATTAAAAGAAAATATTAAGAAACTGAAGGTTCCATTTTGGTCTGCAGAAGAAGCTGCAATAGTTGAATACTTGAAACTACCAAATAACTTGCATATGCTTACCCCAAGTACAGAAAATAAATTGCTTTTTAATTACAAAACTTCACCAAATAATAACAAAAATCATTTTACTATTGGAACAGGTAAAGACCTGCTACAGTTCACTAGAAAAGATAACTATTATTTAAAGGGTGATGCTGCAGTATTTGAGCTTGGAGCTAAGTTTTATGTCAGTAACATATTAAAAGATAATGGCTTTACACAGTTTTCAAGTCCTGATTTTGTAAAGAGTTTAATTATAGAAGGTTGTGGTGGAGATCATACAAACCCCAATCATACTTTTATTTTACATCACAATGAAGACTCTAAAGTCAGTATGGACAATCGTTTGCATTTAACTGGTGGTGGTTCTTTGTTATCCTTTTTAGCATATTATACTAAAAATATATTATATGCTAAAGTATTGCCTTTAAAATATTTTTCATTAGGTAGACAATACACTCCAGCAAATTCTGAAGAAACCAGCTTATTTAATGTTAGCCAATCATCAGCTATAACCACATTTATTGCAGTGAGAAATGCAGATGAATGTGATATTATGCTTGAGAAAATAATTGAAATGACAAAAATGATGTACACTAAGCTTGGATATCCTTTCCGTTTAAGTGTTGTAACAGCTGATAAATTGCAAATGTGGGAATCATTGAGAATCTCTGTAGAAATGTATTCTTGTTCAATGAAATCATTTATAGAAATTGGAAATATTTCTGTGAGTGGGGATTTTTTATGTAAAAGACTTATGTTTAGTTACACAGATGGAAATCAAAACAAATATCCTCATATATTATCTGGTACAATTTTAAATGTACCTAAGTTTTTAGGTTGTGTTTTAGAGCAAGATTATGATTTCTTTATTCCTCCAGAGTTCATGGTGGAGAAATGGTACATCAAGAAATAAGGACAAAATTGTAAAAAAATATTTATTACGTTATAAACTACAGTGTTTAAATTTCTTAAAAATAAAATAATTATTAACATGACTTATTTTAATACAATTATACTGGTGTCTCAAAACGAAATTCACTTCTTTCCCAGGAAGGTTTTATTGCGTCTATTGGAAAAGACATACTTATCTCAATGAGATCCATTTTCCCTGTTTTAGTGACCAGTATTATAGTATGTGCTCTGGAACAAAATAGGATACAATTGTTGAACATAATATAGTACTTTTTACGTGGTAGAGCCATGCTGCAGTTATATTAGTAGTATGGTAGCATGAATGGGTCGGCTCAACCGGGGAAAGACCACACTCTCACAGAATACTAGGGTAAAATAGTAGCTTAATGATGCTGTGTTTCGTATGGTGAGTGTAGAGAACCTTCTATCTTAGTCCTCACGGGTTACATTGCATCTATATTTTGATTCATAATTGAGGATAGATGTAGACGTCTGTGGGGCACAGCAACCACTTACCATCAAGTGGACTGTGTGCTCATTTGTAACTCTATCCTATAAAAAATGTACTGGGTTGGTACCATCCTATTACATACCTCTTTCCGCCGCCAAACAGATATTTACTGTTATTTGTTCTGAGCTTCATGGAGAGCCAGCATAATTACCAACTGAGAGGCATACCACCCGAGTCTCAAGTGGTGACAGTGCATCTGTAGCCTCTTTTGTTTAAACTGGTGTCTATGGGCCTCAGTACCTACTTACTATCAAGCTATCTTCTATATCTAGTTAGCTCGCTTGTCACTTAAATTTTATGAAAAAAAAAAAAGATTAGATGCTTGCAAAAGGTTTGCAATGATGAAAGCTCAAAAGCTGAGGGTTCCTAAGGTTGAATGGAAGTGTTCAATGTGGATGTGAAGAATTACATCTTGGTCACCACAAGCCGAGAAACGATAAATGGGGGAAACTTCCGCTGGGCAAAGAGTTCATCTAAGGAGCAACCATAGTTCCATTTGGTAGTAAACTAAACTATTAACAGCACTTAGTACAACCTATCACAAAACCATAGCTGAACGCAGACCTCCCAATAGAATATTTGAGTAAATTAATCACTATGTTTATGTCATAGGAGACTTACCATAGTTGTCTTGCTGGGCAGGTGGGTTGGAAAACCTTTTACATAATTATACCTAATCTGGCCATAAGTTCTATTACAAATGAAAATGCATTTCTTTTTAATAAGTAATGTAATATTAATAAAACTTATATGTACATATTTATTAAAGTCTTAGCCAAAAATAAAAACAATATCCCATTCAAAATGGCCACCTTTGGCTTGTATACAGGCCTTTAATCTGTCTGGCCACGAGTCTATGGATTTACGCACTATTTCCATAGGAAATTTCGCCACTGCTTGCTCCAGAGGTTTTTTAAGAGACTCAATGTCGCCGTGTCGTTTAGAGCAAGCCATGTCCTCTAAAACTGACCATAATTTGTAGTCTAAAGGGTTGAGGTCTGGGCTTGATGAGGGCCAACCTTCAGCTCTTATAAAGTCCGGAAAGTTGATTTCAAACTAGGCTTGCGTAGTTCGTGCCTTGTGACCAGGTGCAGAGTCCTGCTAGAAAGTCCACGGTAAATTTTTAAAAAGTATATTAATGAGAGGTTTAACAACACGATCCAAGACTGTCTTTTGTTACACTTTGGCTGAAGTTTTCACTCCTTTTTCACTAAAATTTAGTTTTGTGACGCCTTGATAAGACACGCCCCACCAAACCATCACTGACGCAGGATGATGACCACATTGTACCTTTCCGACCACTTGAGCAGCTTCTTTAGAACTATGAGCCTACACTTTATTTTGCTTATTGTATTATATATTACATATACTTATATAATAAGTATATTATACTTATTGCTCCTCAATCTTGAAAAATTTTTCATCGGTAAAGAGGATATTTCAGTGCGGTTCACCTGCGTATCGCAACATGCATTTTGATCGAACAAGTCTCTTTAATTGTAAAGATTTAATTAGAACATGCCCTGCATATACATATCATAAATATATTCACAAAATATAAATAGTCGAAACTATTTATATTTTGTGAATATTAGAAACAAAAATAAAGAAATATTTATGTGTCAAAAACGGTAATCAAAAGACTAAAATGTGTTTGTAGTAGTGATAACTGATAATACGACGTAATTGCTTGTATGTGTGCTCCCGGCGACGCCGATCCTCGTACAGAATAAGGTTGACAGCCATTCTATTGTGTATTATAGTATTATATGGTACAACCATAATAGCTGCAGAGTGGCTTACCACGTATAGATATCAACATTATCTCGTTTTAATATCCAATTCTTAACCCACTTTCTATTTTTCCGTTTCTTTATAAGACTACTTAATAAGACTACTATAGCAGCAGTACGTATTTTTCTATTACCTGGCATGATGATTGATTTCAACTCTCTGAATTTAAATCCTCTCACTTGCAAGCATAAATATTACTTATACAAGTGTAAACTGTTCCAAGTACTTGCACAAGTTATTTTGCAGGTCGTTTGCAGAAGCAAAATGCGATATTAATATTGATGTTGGTGTAAACCGTTCTGCAAGTACTTGCGAAATAACTTAGCAGAAGTTCTTGCTAATCTAAACCCCGCTATAGAAGAAGTGTTGTTGTACCTGTTGATAGTATGGTATACGAACATACGGCTGATAGCAAGCTTTTGAAGTGTCTGGACTATGACCGACGGATCCCACTTTGTGCAAGGCGATGAACGCAATCCTATTTTCTTTAACACCCCATTCCATATTGTAATTTGATGAACACGAAAAAAATATGTGAAATAGCGCGAAATCGAAAGAACTTTTAAAAATAATGAACACTTTCCAAATTCAAAAATATTAAAAAGTTGAAAAAGGAAAAGTTTATATGTAACAGTATTTATGGCCAGACTAGTTAAATTCATAATAAGTATTTTGAGGGATTACATTATTAAATTAAAATAGGGGACCACATGAAAAATTTACCTTGTGCCATATCTTCCATGAGGTATTTTAACAAAAATTGAACTTAGCTCCTTAAAATTTTGTGGTTGTCTTTGTTCCAATTGTGGATCTGGTAAATTCCTGTTAAACAGAATATATTTACTGTAAAATACAATTTGGGAATATGTTGTAGTAAAAATATATGATCAATTTCTAGTAATTTATGTTATGTAACCAATGGATTGTGAATGGGAAATGGGACAAAATCATTCATTTCAATACAACAATTTAAAAAATTTTATTTTGTTACCTGACATGTTAAATCTTTTATAAAAGTATTTTTTTAAACTATTTAATTATCATAATATGTATTTATGACGAAAAGTTGACAAATTACCCTAATATATAATAATAAACATAGTTTTAAACCCACAAATACTTAATTGCATTTAGAAACTGAAAAAGCAGGGAATGTCCTGCATATTCATATCCTTGATAAATAGAACCCTTTAAGTATTTGCTAGATCCACTGCCTTGATGTGATATAAAATTAGATTCCTATTTAAATAAAAGAGAAATACCTGCATGTTTCATCCACCAGTAAATTTATAGCTGCAATTTAAGATCATACAATATTCACTTTTTACACGGGGAAATACCATGGAATACTATAATACATACATAATAGAACGGGGGAGTGGACAGGGCCCGTGTAGCCACTAAAATGCCACTAACACGTCAATTCACACGTATAAATGTCAACACGAGATGTGTTTTGACGTTACAATCGTTTCCGAATTTCTAATGCAAATTATTATTTAGAAAATGCCAAATTGCACCGTTAAAATCCGTCTGTCAATACAGCGAATCGGGTTTGTAGTAGCGATTAACTGATAATACGACGTAATTGCTTGTATGTCTGCTCCCGGCGACGCCTATCTTCGTACAAAATAAGGTTGACACCCATTCTATTGTGTATTATAGTATTCTATGGGAAATACCTATGCATTTCCGACTCACATGAGCAAGGATGGGTTACATTGAACACGCACCGACTAAAACCCCATAGTGTTACACCTACGCCACATATTAGCAGGGCTACGGGAACATTTTCGCACACATCCGCGGTATCACCAGCCCTTTGGGAAGCCCCTTCTCAAGCCCCGTCTCAAGACTTCTCCTTCCTATTTTCCTTCTCAGGTTTTTTAGACAAACGAGCACACAGTTCACCTGATGGTGGATGACCCCACCAGAGTCGCGAAGGATAGGAGTGGCGTATCGCAATACCAACACTACTTCTCTCGCGACATCATCTCGGCTGCAGCGGTAGGTCGGGAGGGCGCCCCTCTCGCCCCAATATATAGGCCATCCTGTCAATCCTATCCAGAATAAAGTTCACTTTTCCTTGGCAATTAGATCGTTGACCGCAGGCGATAGCGGTGTGTGATCGGGTCACGTGTCTCTCGCAATTTTAGTCGCCAGGAGTCAGTTCACGGGATAGCATCGCGCGTTCGCTATTCGATCGTTTTACGAAAATGGTATTTCTTACATTATTTTGCGGCGTATTTTCGGAGTATCCGGCAGTGTCCTAGACTAACGTACTTAAACAATGGCTGAAGAGGTTCCAAGACACTGGTTTGACGCTACCAACGAGACGTCAAGGTCGCTCCCGTACTTAACGCACAGAGCAAGCGATTCTGGAGGTCAATCGATCTGTTCAAGAAAATGCGGAACTCTACATGACGACATTCAGCGACTTTTGGGAATTTCGCGAAGCAGTTTAGAGCGAATTTTGAGTTATGATTTGAAGCTTTATCTTAAAACACTCTCATGCAAGAACTTTCCCATAATGACCATACAAAAAGGGCGTTATTTTCCACAATGATTTTAAAGCGATTTTCCACATTGATTTTAGAGCGATTTTCCAACTTCGAGGACATTCTTTTCTCGGACTATTCCCACTTTCACCTAAACGGATTTGTTAACAAGCAGAATTGCCGTTTTTGGAGTGCTGA